ACCTTGGGTTCCCTATCACCAGCTTTCCTGTCCCCTCCTGGAAAGCTGCAGTCTTTGATCTTCATCAGTAATTGCTTCAAGTCCTCTTCACTTTCATCAAGCAAGGTTATGTCATCTGCATGTCACAGGCTGTTGATGAGGCTTCCTTCAATCCTGATGCCCCGTTCTTCTTCATGTAGTCCAGTTTCTTAGATTATTTGTTCAGCATACAGATTGAATAAGTATGCACACCTTTCCCGATTTTAAGCCACCCAGTATCCCCTTGTTCTGTTCAAATAACTGCCTGTTGATCTATGTACAGGTTCCTCAGGGGCACAATTAAGCATTCTGAAATTCCCATTCTTTGCAATGTTACTCATAATTTGTTATGATCCACACAGTTGAATGCCTTTGCATAATCAGTAAAACACAGGTAAACATCTTTCTGGTATTCTCTGCTTTCAGCTATGATCCATCCAGCCATGATCATCTGCAACGATATCCCTCTTTCCACATCCTCTTCTGAATCTGGCTTGAATTTCTGGCAGTTTCCTGTCAATGTAGTGCTGCAACCGCTTTTGAATGATCTTCAGCAAAATTTTACTTGCATGTGATATTAATGACATTATTTGATAATTTCTGCATTCTGTTGGATAACCTTTCTTTGGAATGGACACAAATATGGATTTCTTCTAGTCGGTTGGCCAGGTAGCTGTTTTTCAGATTTCTTGGCACAGACGAGTGAGAGCTTCCAGCATTGCATCTGTTTGTTGAAACACTTTAATTGGTCTTCTGTCAATTCCTGAAGTCTTGTTTTTGTCAATGCCTTCAGTGCAGCTTGGACTTCTTCCTTTAATACTACCGGTTTCTTGATCATATGCTACCTCTTGAAATGGTTGAACATCAACCATTTCTTTTTGGTACAATGACTCTGTGTGTTCCTTCCACCTTCTTTTGATGCTTCCTGTGTTGTTCAATATTTTGCCCATAGAATCCTTCAGTATTGCAACTTGAGGCTGGAGTTTTTTCTTCAGTTCTTTCAGCTAGAGAAATGCTGAGTGTGTTTTTCCCTTTTGGTGTTCTAACTCCAGGTCATTGTACATTTCACTGTAATGCTTTACTTCATCTTCTGTTTGAAATCTTCTGTTCTGCTCTTTTACTTCATCATTTCTTCCTTTCACTTTAGCTACTCAACATTCAAAAGCAAGTTTCAGAGTCCCTTCTGAAATCCATTTTGGTCTTTTCTTTCTTTCTTGTCTTTTAAATGACCTTTTGCTTTCTTTATGTATGATATCCTTGATATCATCCCACAACTTATCTGCTCTTAGGTCATTAGTGTTCAGTGTGTCAAATCTGTTCTTGAGATGGTCTCTAACTTCAGATGGGATATACTCAAGTTTGTACTTTGCCTCTTGCGGACTTTTTAAAAATGTTCTTCAGCTTCAATTTGAACTTGCATATGAGCAATTGATGATCTGTTCTGCAGTCAGCCCCTGGCCTAGTTCTGACTGATGATATTGAGGTTTTCCATTGTATCTTTCCACAGTGTAGTTAGTCTGATTTTTGTGTATTCCATCTGGTGATGTCTGTGTGTATAGTCTTCATTTATGTTGTTGAAAAAAGGTATTTCCAATGAATAGGTTGTTGGTCCTATAAAATTCTGTCATGCAATCTCCATTGTTGTTTCTCTCACCAAGGCCTTATTTTCCAGCTACTGATCCTTCTTCTTTGTTTCTAACTTTCACGTTCCAATTTCCAGTAATTATCAATGCATATTGATTGCATGTTTGATCAATTTCAGACTGCAGAAGTTGGTAAAAATCTTCGGTTTCTTCATTGTTGGCATTAGTAGTTGGTGTGGAAATTTGAGTAAGAGTCATATTAACTGGTCTTCCTAGTATGCGTATAGATATTATCCTATCACTGACAGCATTGTACTTCAGGAGAGGTCTCGAGATGTTCTTTTTGACAATAAATGCGATGCCATTCCTCTTCAATTTGTCATTCCCAGCATAGCAGACCATATGATTGTCCTATTCACAATGGCCAGTACCAGTCCATTTCAGCTTACTTAATGCCTAGGATATTGATCTTCAAGCGTTCCATTTCACTTTGACAGCTTCCAAGTTTCCTAGATTGATACTTTGTACATTCCACATTCCAATTATTAACGGATGTTTGCAGCTGTTTCTTCTCATTTTGAGTCATGCCACATCAGCAAATGAAGATCCCAAAAGCTTGACTCCATCCACATCATTAAGGTCGACTCTGCTTTGAGGAGG